TATTACCCACAAAAATCTCAGATTACCTCCCTCATTAAGACCACGGTTGTCCCAAAAGGCTCTTTCACTGATATGCTTTCTGTCCATGACTTTGCTCTACATGAAACTGTCCAGAGCTGCACAGACAAGGGAGGAACATTTTTCTTGTGTAAGAGTGTGCTCATTTAAATCCTGCCTGTCATTTAGCAAACCACTCCCTATGATGTCTACCTCATCAAACTGCGCTGACTGATCCTCATTCAGCCTCGGCCCTACAGTGTCAAGGATAAACAGTGACCAGAAAAAAAAACTTTTTTTTTGCCAAGATCCAGCAGAACTACACCCTGAAACCACACAATCATCATCAGGTCTTGCTCCCAATCTGGCTCTGTCATGCATCGCCCTTTGTCACAGGGAAACACAAACTGACACACACTCGTGACATTTTACAACATCAGGGAACACCTGCTTCCCCACAGCCGTTTCCAAGGCTCTCTTCAGCAAGTCTGATCATCAGAGTTTGGATGGGAATCAACACATTGCATCAAGATAAGCTGCCTGCGCAAGCTGCAGACAAATGTTGCTACACATATTTAAATGGTGAGAAGGCCAGATTGCTGGAGTTTTGTGAACTTGAAGCTCATTGTGATGCACCACGTGACTACAGTTATAAGTCATTTACCTGCAGTTTTATACAAAAGCTGAAACTAAATATTGCTAACATTTGATGAGGCATCCCGTTGGATTGGATAGACACAAACAAAATGTCAAATGAAACAGTTCAGTCGCTCATCACATACACATTGTTTTGGCCAGTATGCAAGCTATTTTTTAACAAGAGAAAGGAAAATATGTCATAATCCCAGAACAGGTGCTTCAACGGGCGGGAAAAGGGTGGAGAATACAGTCGGTTTGGCCCGACACCTTTCATTTGCTCTACTATCAGGAGACAACATATGGGAAGATTGGAGTAGTTGATTCAGCCAATAAATAGCTCTTTTGACACTGCTTGTCAAGAAATTACAGATGTGAAGGTGTCACGGGCCAAGAATGCATACCAGTCAGAAAGAATGGGGTGAAGATAGATGAACAAAATACTAGGCTCCATATGGTTCAGTGGGTGGGGGAGACAAAGAGATAGTTGACTAAGCCTAAAGAAAAATGTATTGTTATATAAGTCAATTTGATTAGAAAAAAGTGTAAATATAGTTAAGAAAGAAAGATATATACCTGTATAAGTGATTAAGCCATTGACAGTAGGCTACTAGTTTAACAGATAGCCTAATATCTGTTTTTGGAAAATGTATGATATTGCTAACTCACTCACAACAAAACTAAGTACTTATAGGTATGTGATTTGGACAAACTTTGGTTTATATACAGAACAGAGATGGATATGTAAATAAAAGGCAGCATAAGTGTTGGCATTATAACTGGAGTGACAGAAATATTAGGTAGATACAACACGAGAGTTTCATAAAAAACATTGTTGATTTGGATGAAGACTGGTGGATGTATCATGCCATTGCCAATCAGGATTTCTCCCTCTGTCCAATGTTGCACAGCTCATAGCTAAGTACATAAACAACAACAGTGATAGCAGGATATACTGTATAGTTGTTTTCACTCTACAGTGTATCAGTGTTGTACTGTGGGAGGAGTCCAAGGAGGAAAAATTCCTTTTTTATTGCTTGTTAACAGTGGAGCTGGAAAGAAGACGTAAACATCGGTTGCACATTCACATGGTCAATAGGACCAGCTGCTTGTTAAAGCTGTACGTCTGGCTAATTTTACAAACAGCTTCTGGGAATAGATCATTTTCAGCAAAATACTATACAGAAGGATGCCACTCCACAGTGCTGCAGTGCTCCAAATTAACAAACATGCCAACAAATTCCTGACCAGTCACACACTGTGAGCTGCAAGGTTTGCAGGACAGAGTTCTGACTGGGGGCAGTGCACATGATGGCTGTAACCGGAGGAAAATAGATAGAAGTTATACAATTTTCATCACTCAACAGCGTGAGCAAGACAAGCAATTTGAAGTATAAACCAGCCTTAGTGGGTATGAGAGGGCACCCACTCATGTTTAGGTTCTGGTCACTTAAGACATACCACAACCAAGGATGAACCTCCGTGTTGTCTGCCAAGCATTCCAGAACCCCATCACATATGATATAGTGTATGAGAATCCATATGAACGCAGGTTATTTGTGGAAATGATTCAGGAAACCATGATGATACAGAACAACAGCAGTCACATGGTTACCTGTCTTACTCATCTCTAGACAGTACTGTGGTCCAGTCTTGCAATAAAACAATGTTCATCCCACACAGCACATCTATGACTGCATCATGTTTCGGTCCTTTTTTGGCCAAAAATCTTCCCAAACCTTTTGGTAATCAAGCATGTTGTGTCAGTGTAGATTTCATTTCAGTACAGTCACGACTTTTCAGCATGTGCAGTTTCAATTCATGAAAAATATAGAGTGAGATACTGTCCAAAAGAACATTTGTAGCATTTTGAGCTTAGGAGTTTTATTCCAATTTCCCATAAAGCTGATCAACCAGCTCCTCTGTTTTCAAGTATGAATACAAATGTATAAAACATTAAACTGTTACAAATTTGGTTGTCACAGTCCACAGAACATTAAACAGTTGATCCAGGCCAAGCCTGAAATCTAAAGAGACCAAACTAATCACTTTCTATCCAGAAAATTTACAAGGAAAACATGAGGACATGCCAGAACAACTCAAATACTATTTTTAGTGACATTCAGATTGAGAGCCAGTAAAAACCTTAGTGCTTGTATACCAATGAAGTAATACACAAACTTTAGAACCTTCATGCATGAGTAAAGCCAAACTGAGTTTAATGAACTGTGATAGTTTAATCCAATAAATTCATTCTAAAAAAAGAAAAAAAAATCATAACAAAGCTGTCATGCATTATTTTGAAATGTTTTATTTTTGTGCACTTACGGTAGATTTCCTATTTTTCTTTGCAATTACCTGATTATTATCATTGATATGGTTTTCCCACCTATATATTCTCTTGTGTGTTTATACCCCCCTTACTTCTAAACTTTATAATTTTTGTATGTAAAGTGTCTTGTGTTGTATTTTTCTTTTCATGCTTTATCCTTTTTTGCTCTGATTACTTGTCTGTGTTTGACTTGTGTCTGCTTGTGAAACCTTTTAAACTGAAACCTGCTGGTGCCTTAAAAACAAAAGCATTCACTGTAGTCCAGCATGATAAGAGACAACGGATCTCTCATAGGTAATTTGAGATGGTCTTTTTCTCACAAACTGTTTGTACTCAAAAGAGAACCTACAGAGGATAAATCCTGAGAAGTAAACCCAGTGCAGCACTATTCCACTTTATTAATCAGTTTTACTGGAATTGTTGTGATGTTGGCTGTATTTTCACACAGCCTCAGCCAGTAGCTGCAGAAGCTACTTAGAGATCAACACCTGCAGCCAATTTACATAAACAAACATGCACACAAGGTTCTGACCAATCACACAATGGTTGACACACAATGCTATGAGACTCTGACTGGGGACAATGAGGGGTCTTAGCAGTGGTAAGAATAGCACACTACGCAATTTCTGTCACACACCCACATGAGCTAGATGCTAGAATGGACCATCTTACTGACTGTAAATCAGGCTAATTAGTCTGCTCTAAAACTGTCATTTGAACTTTTTGGATTTTTAATTTACTGAAATTTTACCTGTTCAATAACATTTTCTTTTGACTTTATTATCAATCTATTCCACAAATGTGTTGTCCATTGAGTTAAATAAATAGACTTTTATCAACAATTTTTAGGACTTTAGCAATCTTTATGTCCAATATTAAGTTGATACACCTGCTGCCATTGAAACAGCACTAAACTTTTAGGGCTCATCCAAAGAATAGTTGGGGATGTCCTTGGGTGTCTGGTTATTTGACTTTAGGAACAAGTCTTTTTTGTTCGAGTTGTGATGTAAGTCTCTGTGTTGTGATGTTTCAGTAACTATATCTTTATGTATTTCACCAGGTTTTAGCAGTATACATTAGTATCTGGGAAGCTTTGAAGTCATATGAATTTAAGACTTAGTTATGTTGTTTAAACTCTTTTTTGCAGGGCCTAATGTTGCAGTGAATGTCCATGTCTTAGTGTTGGAGTCTTTGTTGACCTGTAGCCTATGGAGCATCCATCTGCCTTCTCTGAGCCTGCCAGGTGCCCCACAGCTCAGGTTTCCTTCTTTCTGTGAGTTTTGCTTTGGGCCATGCAAATCTGCCCAACATATAGAGTAAGTCCTGCCTTCAACACTGATGTCTGATCTGTCCCCTGCCATGGTTCTGACCTTTTGACTAGTCTTGTCTTTGCTTTCTGCTTCTGGGCTATCTTCCTGAGTAGGACACCTTGCTATGCTTACTAAGAAATAAATAGTTCCAAAAGGGTAAAATATTCATTATTTTCTTTTTAACTGATAGCGTTGCTTGAAAGAAAAGATATGAAAACCAAGACGTAGTCAGAGCTCTTATTTAAAATCTCTTGTTTTTTTTCTGTTGAACAATAGTGGCTTTCATTCATCAGCTCTAAAGCCTCACCCTGTTGTGTTGCTTTGGTGTTATGTGTAAAAGTCCTGATGCAGAATGAACGAATGGCCACTGAGCTGGCAATGGATAAAGTCACAGAGCAGAGGAGGCGAGTGTGTTTAAAGTGGAAATTGAAATGCACAGCACACCACTCTAACCAAAGCTTATGTTGTTTGTCCACTAACTCTTTGATGCACACAAACAAATGACAGAGTTGTCACCATTTGGTATGTGAGAATTCCACAGGACAACAGAGGTCATCTTGAAGGTATCCGTTTTCAACAGTAAGACACAACGTATGACAATAACTCAAGATTTTACACTTTTTACACGACAACAAAAACATTCATGTGGATAGTGTATTAATTGTTTTGTAAAACAGTAACATTATTATGGAATTAATATATTGAAAAATGAAAACTACACTGACCTGGCAGGACATGGTTGAGTGTTGCAAGGAACCGCTCCAGTAGCTAGTTTGGATCTGGGATTGCAGTATGATGTGTTCACTTGCACCCGCATGTCTTTGTAGCATGCTGACTTGGTGCTCATGTGTCCTATTTGAGAGCATAGATAATTAGTTACAAAAAAATCATTTTACGAGTAAATAACTTATCACTTGGGCAGTGACTATAAACCAAAACTGATAATTCATGCAAAAATTTACTTGAATGTCTTGAGACACCTTTTAAAAATTTGTTAGTGCATACCTATATATATA